GGAAGGTAGAAGGGGCCAAAGCTGAGCAGCAGGAATGCTGCAGAGGGAAGTAAAAGCTGCACCTCTGGGTATCAGGGCAGGACAGTCTTTGGAAACCAGGCTCTGAATCTGGAGTGGGAAAAGAGAACAACGATGCTGGAGAAAGAGCTCCTTGTCACAGATGGTAATTCACTCTGAGGGATCACGTACAGGTGTTGAAGTCCATAGGCTTCTTGGAAGGTTGTGCAAGAGCCATCAGATCTCCTCTGAGGCTGGCTGTGTCCTCAGGCATTGTCTGGTCTGCTTCCATCCCATTTACTGCCAAAAGACACTCCAGGAGATGGTACTAACAAAGGACTGGGCCTCCAGCCTTGGCTCAGTTTATCTACTTTATTGGGAAAGGGACCATATTTCATCCTGGAGCTGAGATTAAGCACTGAACTGGACTTGGTGTTCCACTCTATTTTAGGAAAGAGCCTACTTTTGCCTCCCCCTTTCGCACCAGGACTGCAGCCAGCAATCCTCTCGGCCACCTCTTTGAGGCAGAGAAAGCGGCATGCAGGTCAACGCATAGCAGTGAAGCTGGACTTTGCCACTAATAACGAAGGATGTCGGTGATGGTGTGTGTAGTGCGGTGGTACCCAACGGAGCCCTCGGCTGAAGGAGGTGCCTTCAGCCCGGGCAGCGCTGCTGTGCTGCTCTGTGGAACCAGACACACGGCGCTCTGCCCCTCCTGCCAGACGTTGCCCTGGAGGTGCTCCCAGCAGGGCACCGGTCACCCCACAGCGAGCAGAGGCCCGGGGTAGTGCTGAGGGGCTGCTGGGCTGCTCTGCAGCACTGGAGGACGCTGACACTCGTCTCTCAGGGCTCCAGAGAGGCTGGGACTCGCGGGGAGGGGTGTTGGGTGCGCGCAGTGGGGCCGGGTAGCCTTCCCCCGCCCCCGGGGCGCTCCGGGGACAGGCACTGGGAAGAAGGCGGCCCCTGCCCGGGGGTTGCTGTCCGCGGCCTGCTCCAGCTCCAGGGCATCCCCGGACCCCGCGGCCTCCCGTCTCCTGGGCGCCGGTGCCGGTCGGGCCGCGCAGGGCCCATCTGTGGCCGTCTCCGCCGCGGGCGCCGTTCAGCCGGGAAAAGGGCGCCACCTGGCGGCCCGCGGGACCCGCCGGGGTCCGCCGCACGTTGCTTGCCGCGGGGTGTCACCTCGCCGGGCCCTCGCAGCGCCTCTGCCCCTCTCCGCCCGTCTCACCGGGCCCTCAGACACCCCACCGGGGCCCCCGCCCTGCCGCTCCCCTCTGCCCGCCCCATAGGGACTGTGGCAGTGCCCGGCCTCTCCCGTGTCACCGTGGACAGGGACCAGTGTGAAACCCGCGGAGGAGGGTCCTGGCAGAGCCCCAGCAGCCTTCGCTGGGCTCAGGGCCCCGGGGAGCAGCGGCCTGGGCCCCGATGTGCCGAGCAGAGTGGAGCCTTTGCCCAGGTCGGGCTGAGGCACAGTGTGGTGATGTAGGGGCTCCCTCAGCCTGTGATGGGTGACATTGTTGGACAAGCAGCTCTGTCACAAACACACAGTTTGTGGACACTTCTGGTGTGCCCAACACAAGAGGGACGTGGAGCTGTTAGAGGGAGTCCAGAGGAGGCCATGGAGATGCTGTGAGGGCTGGAGCAGCTCTGCTCTGGAGCCAGGCTGAGAGAGCTGGGCTGGTTCAGCCTGGAGAAGAGAAGGCTCCTTAAGGGGAGACCTTAGAGCAGCTCCCAGTGCCTAAAGGGGCTGCAAGGATGCTGGAGAGGGATACTTCATCAGGGAGTGTAGGGACAGGACAAGGGATAATGGGTTCAGAAATAAACAGGGCAGATTTAGGTTGGATATTAGGCAGACATTCTTCTCTGTGAGGGTGCTGAGGCGCTGGCACAGGTTGCCCAGAGAAGCTGCGGCTGTGCCATCCCTGGCCAGATTGGACAGCTTGGAGCAACCTGGTCTAGTGGAAGGTGTCACTGCCCATGGCAGGAGTGTTTGGTCTGGATGAGTTTTAAGGTCCTTTGCAACCCAAACCATTCTACGATACTATGATTCTAATTCCAGCTTCCTACCAGCCACCATCGACCTCCCATGGGATGTCCCATGAAGCCACCCCAGAGCTGCATGAGCCTCCTTTCCCTCTGCAGCAGCAGTAGCAGCCACTGGCCAGCAAACAGACCCCAGAAGTCCAAAACCCTCTACAGCTTTCATCTGAGCTGACGTAAATATGTTCTACATGAGGAACTTCAGCATGCCTTGCATATAAATGCTTCCCATAGTGGTGGACAAAGCAGCCCTCCATCCTCCCAAAGGGAGTGGTGTAAGAGGAACCATCAAAGATACCCTTGCATAGAAGAAAAAAGGTATCCTCCGTGAACGCTCTGAGTGAAGTGGGATTCATCTAACCCCTCTATCTCTGTTGCCTACGCGCCGTCTGCACATAGTTGTTGTCTTGGTCCAGGTCCAGCCCTGTTGTCCAGCTCAGTTACTTCAATAAGCCTTCAAATTGCTTAACAAATACCACACAAATGTTTAAACCCTGAGAATTTGTACTCTGGGCTCAAAATGTGATTTATCTTCATCTATGCCTGCAAGATTTATCAGCCCAAATTAAGGGAATGGCTGCACTCTTTAAAGTGTGGTTCTAGTCAGAAAAACCAACTGGAGTCTTGTCTCACTGAGCAGGACACATGGCCAAACCAGAAGGGAAAAACTGAGAAACGTTTTTCTAAAACAATCCTTGTGTTTTTTGGTCAAAATTTTTGAAGTGTGGCTGAATTTAGAAACATCTGATCAGCTCAGTAGTGAGCCAGGAGCCAGGAAAGGAATGGTGAAAATTCAGTCAGGTTTTTTCCTCTGTTCTTCACCAGAATTTAATATTTTTATGCCATTTTTCATCCAAAAGTGCTGGCAAGCGCTGCATGGCACATCTGTCTGCTAAAGGCCATCTGCAAACCTCCACCCCTTTGTAACACAGGTGAGAGATGTCTCTGTTGGTGCATACACACAAGAGAATAAAAGCATGTGTTGGTGCACTCTGGGCAAGCCTGCTAAAGCCTGGGACATGAGGCTTTAATCCTGGCCACGGAGGAGTGCACTGGTAATATATGGCAGTAATTCCTACTAACAAACCCTGCAGACTTGTGTTTCTGCTCATTGCTAGCAGACTTCTTCCTTTCTTCTTGCTTCCTTTTTCCTCAAAGGGACATGGAGCTGTTGGAGCAAGTCCAGAGGAGGCCATGAGGATGATCAGGGGCTGGAGCATCTCCTGTATGAAGACAGGCTGAGAAAATGTGGGCTGTTTAGGCTGGAGAAGAGAAGCTGCATGGAGACCTCATAGCAGCCTTCCAGTATCTGAAGGGGGCCTGTGAGGATGTCGGAGAGGGATTCTTCATCAGGAACTGTAGCAACAGGACAAGAGGTAATGGATTTAAACTGAAACAGGGGAAATTCAGAAGGAAGTTCTTTACCGTGAGGGTGCTGAGGCACTGGCACAGGTTGCCCAGAGAAGCTGTGGCTGCCTAATCCCTGGTAGTGTTCAAGGCCATGTTGGTAGGGGCTTGGAGCAACCTGGTCTAGTGGAAGGTGTCCCTGCCTGTGGCAGGGGGTTGGAACTGGATGAGCTTTAAGGTCCCTTCCAACCCAAACCATTCTATGATTCTAAGATTCTTGCTGTGACACTGAGCTCCCAAGGTGGGAGGCTGGCTCTGCTGTGCCCTGAGAACCATTGGAGCAAGGCCAGGAAATCCCAATGCCATGGGCAGCTTCAGAGAATATGGAGTTCTTTCTCCTTTCACAAGCTTTTCAAGTGGATCTCCAAGGTGCGGGTTGTACTGGCAATGACAGGTCCAGAAAAAACCCACCCAACCTCTAACAGGGTGAAACCTCAAACCAGGCAGAGCAGATCAAGAAATACAAGAAGATGGGGGATGGGTCATTGAAGAACTGTCACTAGACTCCAGAGAGACCAGCTTTGCAGCCAGATGACGTTAAGCCATACTGTTAAACGCACCTCATCTGGAGGTGGGGAGGCACGACAAATGCATGTGAAACCCACACCAGAAAGAAACAGCCCTGGAAACTGGGTTTGCTAATTGGCAGGATTTTTTTTCAGATAAGACTTACCTTGAAACTATATTGTTTGTCTACCTGTGCAATTACCCATCAAATCAAGTTGTAGGGGAAAAAAAAAAAATGCATTCTAGAGGTTTCCTTTGGACAGCATGAAAGCCTTTTGATCCAGCTTGAGCCTCCAGACTCCATACATTCAGACTGCAGTGCTGGTGTGGTTACAGTGACACAAGGCAAAAAGAAAACGAAAGGTCCTTTCAGGATAGTAGGTGTGATCCTTTCCCAGTAAGTGCAAGGAGAATGTTTTATTCCTCATCAACTTGCCTGGATCAGGATGTCCTTCTTGCCCTAAGAAAATCCTTTGTAATTAAACCTTTTTTCTGCAATATGTCAGGGCACATAACAAGGATTTTCCTGCCTGGAAGTAGTGTGATCTTAGATATTTCTAGATATAGCTCAGGCTGGAGGTATGAACAGAAATATGATCGTTTATGCCCACCATCGTTGAAGCTGGGAGGGTCCTGATTTCAATCTCAGCAACAAAGGGCATGTGTAAGTAATCCTTGGTTTAAAAGGTCTGAAATGACTCTCATCATCTCCTCTGGCTGCCCGTCTCATCCAGCCAGTCTCACCTCATCCCATAGGAACAGGCAGCTGGATCCCATCCGTGCTGCCATCCCAGCCATCCTGTAGCTGAGATCACTGGGGCCAGATATCGTGAGGTGGGGGCTTGAGGGGCACTGTCCCCTGTTAATACCCCTGTCACATAGCACAGCTATGCACCATCATAGGCTCTCTCAGCCAAGAAGGCAAGAAGGCACACAGGGGTGGGAAGAAGCCCCAGGACTGACTCTTTTCTGAGGCTGAGCCAGACCCTAGATGAGAGAGGAACCCCAGGAGATGGCCTTGTTTTCCCTACCAGCAATGTGTTCGTCAAAGACTGAAAGCAACCCCATCCCGCACTGTGGTCCCCATGTGTCACCGCTGACGCCTGCCACTAGCTCTGCTGCACTCATCTCCTTGGCTGCATCATGGAGGATGCTCAGCCGCTGCCATCCTGCTGTCACTCTCACACAGTTTGGCACACAAACAGCCAAAGGCTGAGGAGATGTGCAACGAGTAGTCAACCTTGCCGTTCCCTTTCTCAATACTTTAAGAAGAGATGATAAGCCACCAGCTGGCAGGTGGCTGCCAGTGTGTGGAGCCTTGCACAGTTCTTCTGGTAGTTGAAACACAGAAGGCAATATGCTCTCCACCAGAGAACATCAGCTGGTGATGTGTGATGCTTTTTCTCAGATAGGGGATGGATGTGAGATGCTCCTGATGCTGCCAGCACTTCTGAGACAGCAGGTGAAATAAAAAAGGTCCTGCTACCTGTTATCTCGGGATCTGTCCTCTGCAGGTGGGCATGTCTAGGGAGATGTGATTGATTTAAGTCACACTAACAAATGTGGTTTTGTCCTTACAGGATGTATCAGCTTGGCTACTGCTTGACTTGCTCTGGGAATCACACTTCAGCATCATAGCCCTGTACCTTCAGTCAGCAACCCAAGAACTGCAGTGAAGGCTGAGTAGGCACCTCCCCAGGACTCCCTGGGCTTCTCCTAGGGCTGTCCCTAGAGTGGCTCTTTACCCTTGGCTTTGTTTGGCATCCCCAGCCCTTTCCTATAACAGCAGCTGCTGAAAGTGTGAATTTCCATGCCTGAGGACTGCTCACTGGAGCATGTGCAGTCCAAGAACCAGTGGAAAAGCACCAGGTCCCATCCCTTGCTGTAGCTGCAAAACCTGCCTCATTCTCATTGCAGAAGAGTCTCACTGTGGGAATCTGCAGCTCTCCCATGCCTCCTGGTTAGTAGAGCTGTGGGGCTGTGAGGATCCCTTGGCTTTCACCTGCATGCACATGGGCAGGTTTTGTTCCTATCTGTGCTAGTTCTGCTTTTGGACAGGCCAAGGGCTGTCTGATGAGCTGTTCGGGTGTTTGAGTCCAGAGCCTCGTCCAGGGCTACAACTGTCCCAGGTCTGAGCTGCTTTGGAGACATCTGCCCTCCAGGGATGAGAAGAGGTTCCCAGGCCTGCTGAGAAGAAAACCATCGCTGCCTGCTTGGCACCGGAGCTTGGATGGGAATTCTGTTTTTCGTGAGCAGGCTGAGCGGTCAGCACATACCATGAGCAACAGTCAGAGGAGCAATAAATAGCCTACCCAGACCAGAAGGAGACAACCTGTTCAGACTGGACCACTCATCCCCTGTGCTGGACAGAATAACTATTGCTCTGTGTCAAGGTCTCATGTGCTGAGGAGAGAAAGCCTCTGGCCAGGCCCAGCCTGCACCTAGCGGGTTCTCCAAGAGCAGCCATGGTTACTGCTTCAACCAGCACGTCCCAGGGATGTGGTAGGCAGCCATCAGGATTGTCTTTGTTCCAGTGAGATGTTTCACTCCTGCTCCCAAAGACGTGCCAAGAGGCAGATGCCATTGCTGCAGGCTGGCTGTGGACTTCTCCTCCAGGGCTGGTTCCCATTTGGGATTGAACCCAACCGTACTTCTCCATTCCAGTGAAAGACCCAGCTTTGCTCATTCTCCAGAAAAAGGAGCACTTTGAAAATGTTAAGGTTCCATAACTCATACCAGGAAAACCTTGTGTTCCCCAATGAGGTTTCTTTGTGGTCTTATACCACCCGTAAGACTGTGGGGAAGAGGAGAGGTCCCAAATAGCCAGTGCAAGCCCATCACTTAGCATTTCCCCTTCTCCCTTTTAAAGTCTACAACGGGAGCAGGCATGAAAGGCATTCCTGCAGCTACGGGCCAGTGTTTCTTCCCAGTCACCTCCTGCTGAGCAACAAATCTGGGATAGCCAGGGGTTGTAAAGTCCTCTGAACCTGAAAAGTGCTAACCAAGAGAATAAAGCACAACAAGAGTGTTATTAATAAATGCCAGCTGCTGTTATATAACTCCTAATCATGAGCCGCGTCTTTCGGCCCCCATTGTTCCATTGTCAGGCCCCATTATCTGGGAACTCTTACCCATGGACCACAAGAAATAGGCTGGGCTCTGCGGGTTTGCAAACTTTCTTGTTGGAAAGCTTTTCATGCAATTGTTTTTGCTTTGTGCTGTTGCCTTCCTTATTGTACAGATGTGGGTGTGTATCGCAGCCCACACCCTCTGTCTTTTGCCTCAGGATAACTTTGAAAATGAGCTGATCCATCTCAGTGAGTGTTTTCCCTAAGAATTTGCTTTAAAAACAGCAACATTCAAACAAAAAAAAAAAACCACCTCATTTTCCTGAAGTGAAGCCCGTGCTGGGGAAAGATGCTGGCCTGGAATCCCAGCAGAATAAAGACTGCACTTTATCCTCAGAAGAGACTCCCCGCAGGACTGTCAGTGCCTTAGCCCAGGCCTGAAGGAAGAATGGAGTGTGGGGTAACCAGGTCTCTGGGACTCATTTGGAGCAGGGCATCTCTGTGGTTGCAGGGCTGGGCTATCAGTCCTCCCCTGCCAGCTTACAAGCTTTCAGCAGTCCTGCTTCAAGTGCATCTTCATAGAATCCCAGACTGGCTTGGGCTGGAAGGGACCTTAAAGCTCACCCAGTTCCAACCCCCTGCCATGGGCAGGGACACCTTCCACTAGACCAGGTTGCTCCAAGCCCCATCCAACCTGGCCTTGAACACTGCCAGGGATGGGGCAGCCACAGCTTCTCTGAGCACCCTGTGCCAGCGCCTCAGCACCCTCACAGGGAAGAACTGCCTAAGAGCGCATCTCAATCTCCTCTCTATCAGGTTAAAGCCATTCCCCTGTGTCCTCATGGACACATCAAGGAAGGCTTCTTCATGGCATTTCTCCCTGGAAATCAACATGAAGCTTATCTGGCACCAGTGCAAGCTTGTGAGTCTCAGCTGTACTTACAGGCTAATCATAGAATCAAAGAATCACAGAACAGTTTGGGTTGGAAGCTTTGGACCTTAAAGCTCAACCAGCTCCAACCCCCTGCTGCGGGCAAGGACTTTCACTAGACCAGGTTGCTGTGCAAAAAGAGGAGAGTGTAGTTCTTCGTGGCACCTTCATGCTGGCCAGTATAAGATACACCAGCATGGGAAGCTCTGCGTGCTGGGTTATGGCTGTTAGGTTGGTTGGGTCATGGCTGTTCAGGTTAGAGGTGCAGTCATTTCCCAGGGCTTAGAACTGACCACACCAAAAAAAAAAAAATGGGTTTCTGGTCAAAATTAAAAATTTGATTGAACTTTGCCTAGGTTTGGAAGAGAAATTATAAATCAAAACTGAGAAATGACAGGCTGTTGTGTTCATTTCCTGAGGCCTGTATTTTCTCTAAGAACAATATGCTTTAAACATCATTGTGTTTTTTATTCCTTTCACTGGAAAACCTGAAATGACACAGGAAGCTAAAAATAGTAACAGTATCCAACCAAGTCATTGGTGCTTTTCAGTCAGCTTCAATGCAAACTTCAGTGTTGGTTGGGCAGGATTTGTTATTTTTCTGACCAGGCCCTATATTAGATTCATGAATATATCTGACCAAAATGGTCTAGGAAAGCCACCAACCCATTCCTGAATGGTTTTCCCTGGAGTTCACCCAGTGCTTCACATCTTCAGGCAGCAACAACCAGTAAGCACAGTGATGCTCTTGGGATAGGGATGGAGATGAGTGCTGCAGTGTGACCACAGTGTGGTCCCCAAGCCTGGGGCTGCAGCCCTGTGGTCACCCTCCTTCATGCTCAGGAGAGATGGGCTCTGAGACACTGTTCCCCCAGAACCATCCTTGGTGGCTGCATCTCCTCCCCAGATGAGTCCAAGCTGTCCACAGTGGCCATCCTCTGGCCCATCCTGTTTTGCACTGAAAAGCAGGTGCAGAACATGCATGGCTATCACCAGGCATCTTCTCACCTCCTTCTGCCCTGCCAGTACCTGTAATACAGAACAAGACGCAAGGCACAGAGGTTGTGTGTGCTGTGCAGGGAGCTGGGGCAGCCCTGGAGACTACTCTCCTGGGACCTCTGCATGGCACAGAGACATCTACCTAACAATTGAGGGAATATTTTCCACCCAAAGAATCCATCTCATGGTCCCCTCTTCATTTGTGACACAAGGGAAAATGTGAACCAGCCAAGACGCGTGAATCACTGTCCCAAACAACATATAATGAACTCATAAAATCAAAGACAGGGTTTGTTTCAACCCGTGCTGCCAGGGCTCCTTGGACATTGTCTGGAATGAATTTAAGTTGTTACAAAACTCCCTGTGTCTCTGTGTCTCTTTCCCCCATCCCATCTTTCTTCTCTTCCCACCTCATGCTTTGCTTTCTTATGAAATCCTTCCCCCTCCTTTCCCTCCCACCTTTCCTCTCCATCTCCTGCCTTCATTCTCTCCCTTCTTGCCCTGGTCCCTCCTTCCCAACCCTTTGCCCCAGCTCTTCCCCTCGCATCCCTGCTCCCCCAGCCATCCCTGTGGCTGCTGGCCAGGTACCCCCACCATTTCCAAACAGGCTCATTTCCAGGACAACTTCAAAGATGCAGCCATGCCAATGGACCCCCTGTGCTGTGCTCTGGTGGGATCTCAGCCCCAGGGCCATCAGCAGAGGCTGGGTGGAAAGGTGACCTTCCCCAGTAGTACCTGGAGCTGGCGTAGTGCAGCCACAGAAGACCAGAGTCAACCCCACCTCCAGCCACATGTAGCTCCAGCAAGTGCCGTGCTGCGGCTGAGGGCAGGGACATGCTGGCCTAGGCCAGGGGCCACAGTGAGAGGCTTTGGCAGCTATGCTTGGGAAATGTCTGCACACCTCATTTGCCCACTCTGTGCTCTACTTCACCACCGCTGGGAGCAGGGGCGTGCTCCATGGTTTCCGCTGGGTGTGATGGTATTGTCAGCAGCACAGACTTGATGGCACATTGATTTCAACAGGTGGTCCTGCTCCTTCTGCTGCCTCCTAGAAATTGCTTCCATCCCTACAGGTCTGCCCATGTTCTGGCACTCCCAAAGAGGACAAGGAAGCAGGCACTTAAATCCCACCATTTCAAATAGCCAGATTTAATTACATCACAAAAGGTGCTAGTGCGGGCAACTGAGCGGGCTCTGGAGCCGCAGGCTGATTGCAGAGACAGTGGGACACTGCCTAAGGCAAGCTTGGGCAACAGCAGGTCCTGCTGCTTTGGGGACTTGGGCTGGCATCGCCGTGTTGCAACTCATGGTTCCAGCAGCACGCTTGGAGCAAACCAAGGACCCCCCTGTGCCATGTCCAATTGAGTGGTAGCAGCATGGCTCACGCTGCTGAGGCTTTCTGGACTCCCAGCCCAGATCTACCCAAACACTAAAGGCTGTATTGGTTTGGAGCAAGCAAGACACAGGCCAAACCTCAAACCAGCCATGCCAGAGCCAGCCTAGTGAGCTGCTCCTGGCTCACACAGGGCAGCCTTCATTTGCCAGGCAGGTCTGTGGGCCTTTCCCTTGGTGTCCAGCTGGGAACACCCCTGCTTTACCCAGAACTGTGCTCCTGTTGCAGCATCAGCAGCCACTTTCTGTGGGGAACAACAGCTCCTTTAATGCTGTGGATGAGGTGCTGCCCACCAGCCAGCGCAGCTCAGATTCCTCCAGTGCACCAAGATGTTGCCCAGCTTCCTCACATACCTACAGCAAGCACAGGGGTGGTGGGCACCTGACTGGAGCTGGTGAGGAGTAAGGTCCTCTGCAGATGCTGAGATACCTCATGAGGCTTAGTATAAGAGCTGCTTGTGCTAAGGCCAAGTTTTGCTGCTGACTTCAGACCTGTGGACAGCGTTTGCAAAGCAGCTCCCAAAGGTCATATGGGATGTTTTCCTGGAAAAACTGTTGCTCTGCATCCACATAACCCAGCTCCAGCAGAGCTGCTGCTGGGCAGCCGTTGTTCCAGGGAGATCCGCCACACAGGGAGCGTGCTGGAGACCCCACGATCACAAGCGAGGACACCACACAACATCCTCCCACTGCTGACAGCACAAACGTAGGTGCAAGCGCCTCAGCGGACTGGCTTTTCCCGGGCCCACCCCCTCCCAAGCTGCCGGAGAGCAGGGTCTGGGACAGCAGCGGCGGAGGAACGGCACCACCTCGCGGCTGTTCTGCCGGGGATGTGCTCCCATCGCGGCCGCATCGGGCCTCTCACCCTGCCACCGGTCGCCTAGGGAGCAGGGGATTCCTGGCGCGAAGAAGAGCAGAATGAGGTGCCTGCGGAGCTGCAACTGGCTGCGGGCATAGAGGGTGGCGTTTGGGCAGTGGTGCACATCTTTGACTGTCCATTGCACCCTCTTCCCACAGCATCCTGCCGGTCCAAGATTGGGGAGGGAATCACACTTAGCATTCCTCCAGCTTCCCTCTGGTGAGCTGAAGCTTCTGTTCAGTGCCGGACCTGTGCAATGTTCACATACAGCATCCTCCGAGTGGAGTGAGCAGGGTCAGAGTGGGAAAAAAAAACATGTAACATCCGTTTGTGGTGGTGTTAAGTGCTGGATGTTGCACTTTGTTTTCCCAAGGCATGTTCATTCACACCTTTCACACAGTAATCCCTATCCCCACTGGGGTCTGCCTCTCCTGTCTGCTTCTGCTTGGAAATGGCTATTTATGTCGGTGAGGAAACAGATCATGTATAAATGATTCCTGAGCCCCAGCTGCTCAGCTTTCCTCTGGGAGCTGAGGGCAATAGCATGTGTTCTGTCTGTGTCTCTGTCCGTGGCAACCTCGTGCTGATTTTACACAGGCTCATAGGGGCACCCAGACCTGAGAACCTCACCATGAGCTGCTCCAATGCCCCTCCTGGGTGGCAGAGAAGTGAGGTCAAAGCACAGTGCAGCACTGCTGCTCCCCAGGAAAGGCCCACTGGGGCTGCCTGCATACCACCATGGTGCTCAAACTGTGGGTGCTGCCTGTGCCTAGACACCAGGCTCTCTGGCCATGTAGAGCAAGAGAAAGGAATCCTG